GCTTAGGTATCCCAAAAGGTTTTCCCTGATGGTCACAAGGATGTTAGGTCAGACATAGAGGTGACAAAGAATGACATGGCTTTTGTCTGTGTTCTTTCAGGTCACAGGAATTCTGGATAAATGTGGTCTAGAAGTAAGGTGGAGAAAACGTTGTCTAGAGAATCAGAAAGTGATTTTGAGTTTGGCTACCATTCTGGGGCCTCTTGTTCTTGGGGTACCTGTTTCCTGGACTACCTATATACAGAGGATTCTTGGCACTCCCATAGTAAGAACTAGTCTGTTCATTCAAACACTGAGATTCACACCAACCCTGTTTGCAGCTCAGTGCAGACCAGGAACATGCCGATGCTTGAATAGAGGAAGTAGTGACCCAATGCAGTAGATGGAATACAGACTTAATGTTTTTGGTCTTGTATTTTAGACTTGGAATCATGAATCTTATGTTTAATTTCCATCATTTGGCAGAAAAAATGCTGACTGTTGCCCAAGGAAATGTCTTTAAACCTGCTACCTCAGAGGGGAGTCTCATATTAAGATGATCTAGGCCCCTTCAAGCTTCTAGTGTCACCACTTCCTGGATTTAGGAGCTGGCTGTATGGTCAAAAGTGGGGATAAAGACATATGTGCATCTTAGGAACCAATAAGAATCTGTGTGGTAACTGTCCAAGGTGAGACCAGTCCAGTCAGATTCCTGCAGTCCAAGCTTCTGGGATGGCATGTTTTGACCTTCTATTCCTCCATCCTGAGACACTGAGCTGACTCCTACATAGTGGGTTCCTAGGGCAGGGGCCTTTTCAGTGTTCCCACATAATCCTCCTTGAACTCCAGGCTCCCCACTTCCATGTCCCCATCACGGTCACTATGGAGGTTGGTGCCCCTCTGTTCTTGAAGCTGCAAGCACCAATCCCCAGCATGCAACTGTGTGCAGACTCCAAGCTGAGCCAAGCATTTAATGACCAAGCTGGAGCTGGCATTCAGGGGAATACTGGAAGGACTGGTGGAGATGAATAACCTAGGCAAACACAGAAGAGAGCGCAGCTGAGACTCCAGTCCACCTAGCTTGCTCATGCCCACCCTCTGCGTACCTATGGTGGCCCCAGCCATAGTGGTCAGCGGGGAGTTCAGGCCTGACATGGAAGGGCTCAAGCTGTGAGGAACAGTTAGGAGAGGCAGGCAGGGCCAGATATCATGGGATAGTTTGTATGTCTTGTGAGGAGCTTGGCTGGTTCCTCAGAGCAGTGCAGCGAGAGACAAAGTGGTTTGAGGCAAGGGGATGACATCATCCTCTTTCTAGGAATTCTGGCTGCTGCATGGAGTAGGGAGGGACAAGCCTGGGAGCAAGAGCCTGCCAGGAAGCTGTGCCCTGGCAGGAAGTGGTGGTGACTGGGCTGGGGTTGGCAGTGTGGAAGAGAAAGGTGGGACAGAGTCCCCAAATCTGTATTTCTGGGTACCTTCCTTCTTTTCTTTTTCTTTTTCTTCTTCCCTCTCTCCCTCCTCCCCTCCATCCCTCCTTTCCTTTTCTTCTTCCCTCCTTCCTTCCTTTACTTATCCCCCTCTTCCTCTCTGCCTGCCTGACTTCCTTCCTTCCTTTCTCTTTCTCTCTTTCCTTTCCCTCCCTCTCTCCCTCCCTCCCTTCCTTCCCTTTCTCCTTCCTTCCTTCCTTCCTTCCTCCCTTCCTCCCTTCCTTATGTTTCCTTTCCTTTCATTGCTTTTGAGACAAGATCTCAGAATGGCCTGGAACCCACCATTTAGCCCAAGCTACCCTTGAACTCATGGCATTCCTCCTGCCTCACCCTCTGAAGTGCTGGGATTCCAGATGTGAGCTCCTGGCTGCTTTTCACCTGTCTGCAGCTCACATCTGCTGGGGTTTTCATTTGAAAATCCTGGTGAGAGAGGCCTCCCTGCATGTCCCCATTGAGATTCATGACCTTGTGGTCTGGTGGAGCAAATAGTGTCAAGGGCAGGCACATCTCTTGTCAGGCTGTGTTTTCTTGGGAAGGAGCTGTCTTCACAAGGGTCTGGCCCTAAGTAGGGCATAGACTGCTGTCCCCATTTTTGGCCTCATTTCCTGGTACCCCAGGGCTTCTCCCTCCCCATCATGTGGTTGCCGTCCTGCCTGAGACTCCACCATGGTCTGCTCACACACTTGTTCCTTTTTTGATGATGCTATATGAGGCTGAAACCTGATCTCATGTTCAAGCATGGGGTGCTGTCTTGCTGTATAGAGTTGTCATATCTCAAAGTTTGGTAGAACCTCAGACATCCCTGGATCAGTGTTTCCCCCAAAGCAGGAGTCCTCTGGACACTCACAGCCACCCTGTAGGATGCTGTCTCCTTTTCACACACCTGCTGTCTCAGTGGCCCTTCCTGGTCCCCCTCTCGCTACCCCCTTATCTTCCTAAGCCTTCACTTAGTCGTGGCAGTTTACGTGGCCAGTGACCCTCAAGGACAAAGGTATCTGGGTATCTCAGCACTGACCGGGGCCTCAGCGCGTAGTGGGTATTTAATAAGGAACGTATGAATGGGGGGGGAGGGAATGAATGAGGGAGTGAGTAGGTAAAAGAGTGAGTGTGGGAGTGAGAGAGAAAGCTAGTGGGAACAGGCCAGCCAGTAGGGAAGTGGTCAGCTCTCACTGTTCAAAGTCCTGGGCCCTCGTGGGAGAAATGTCCTGTTGTCCATGTCTGAGCTTGTTGCCTCTTCCTACAGGCCCTTGTCACATAGTGGGGCCACAGATCCTTCTCTCTGTCCTTCAGGTGCCAATTCTACTCCACCTGAGGGCCTTTGCACTCTGATGCCTAGAACCTTCGGCCTTGTTTCTCTCCATGGCCAGGTCTCTTTTGTCATCGGGATTTCAACTCAAACGTCACTGCCTCAGACCTCTACTGACCATCAAGACTCCTTTCCCCACAGCCTTTATCTCTCTGCTGAATTCTGGGTGATTTCCTCACATCTGCGTTTCAGTTCACTACATCTCTCTTTATCTTTATTTACCTGCTGTTTAACCTGAGAGAGGTGTTATATAAGTTATTCTAACTTTTTTTTTCTTTACAGGGGTGTGTGCATGTGTATGTGTAAGCTGTCTCACACTCATGCATGTGTGTGTATGCACATGTACGCACTCACACACAATGACTGGCATGACCATTCTCATTTTAACATTCATTCTGGAATCCATTTTTCTCTTAAAACTGAACCTGTGAACATCCCGCATGAACTTTGGAGGTGACCCTATGGTCTTCATTAATCTTAGGACAGTCATGCATATTTCTCGGTGAATACAAGATCAATGTGAGAATTTAAGCATTGATATGTGATGGGGTGATGCTGTCTTGAGCTTAATGTCACTCAGCTCCTTCTAGGGACAATGTTCTGTGCTTTGAATGGAACCCAGCTCAATGCAGTGATACCCAGGTACCAGGTGCTGAGGCTATGAGGTACAGAATGTTCGAGCAGGAAGGAGGGTGGGGCCCTCTGAACACACAGACTTCTGGGATCTACCCCATGGACAAAGGCCACAGGGCTGTGAATACCTCTAGGACCCAAACACTTCTGAAGCTGCCCAGAGATATGATGGGAAGAGAACTCTGGCTCCAGAGATCCCACAAGGTCAAGGATTTGTACTGAGTTTATTTTTGTCTCACTCCCCACCCCCAACATGTGATCTAGTGCACAGGAAGAAAGCTATAAATACATTTTGAAAAGCAAAGCAGTCTACAACCACCTACACACACACACACACACACACGACAGAGACAGAGACAGAGAGACAGAGAGAAAGAGACAGAGTCAGACACAGAGAGACAGAGAGAGAGAACAATGAGATCTTCACCACAGGAGGACTGGGGCACTGGGATGATGCGGGGGTGGCAGTCTTGTGAGAGATGGAGCACAGACTGTGTGTTGCTGCTGTATAACTCCACAGACCCTCAGCTTCACAACAAAGCTGACCTTGGTGACATCAGCTGTGGGGATGGCTGTTAAATTGTGCAGGGATGCTCTTCTCTGCTAGGGTATCATTCTCAGGGGTCTCCCTCTGGGATGTCACACTGCCTAGATATTTGAGTGAATCTGTCAGCTTCCCTTTGGGCTCCTCTTGGCAAGCTGTGTTTCCAGCCTGCACTTCCCAAACCCCACCCAGTCTCCTGCCTCTTGTGTGTTCTCTGCCTAGAAAACCCCCATGGGTCTCTGATATCTGCCCAGATATCACCATCTTCAGGCGATCTCCCATCCCCTTTCTTATCTCTCATTCCTCTCTGAATTCTCATCATGCCCAGGCCTGTGCTGGAACTCCCTTGACACCCTTCCCTCCTCCTTCCTCTGTTCTCACCATACTGACTTCTCTCCACAGGACCCTTGCACAGACTACCTGGCAGCCTCTTCTCATTCATGTTCCTACTCTGCTACCTCCAAAGTTCCTTCCTGGTGCCGGTGGTAACTGGCCTGTTTCAGTTACAGCTGAGATGGACACACCTCTCACTGTCTCCTCTAGCTCACTGGAACCACCGCAGGGCAGTCTGTAATCCCATGAGCCTGGCACCAAGCCTGGCAGAGACTAGGGTCTGGTAACTCTGCCGACAGAGCAGTAAATACACCCCTGAGACTCTGTTTCTCTCTTCCTTCGGGCAGCTCTCGAAACTTCGTTGGGCCATTGGCCACCATGAGGGCCTCAAGAACACTAGAAAGCCTGTGTGTACCAGACATGGTCACATGACACTTCCATATGGTACCCATGGCTCACAGACACCCCACTAACGAGGTTGCTCTCTGGAAACGCTAAGTAGTGTCTTTTCCTAGTGGGAGCAGCTAGAGTTGTCCTGCAGGCCGTGCGTGTGTGTGTGTGTGTGTGTGTGTGTGTGTGTGTGTGTGTGTGTGTGTGTGTGTGCAGATACAGGGAAAGCTCCCTGCAGCCTGAAGACTGGCCCCTCTGGACAGCTCTCTTCAGTAGCCACATGGGTAGCCTCTTCCTTCAGAGACTCATCTCCCTGCTTTCCCTGTTACAGGAAAGAAGACAGCACCGTTAGGCACATCATGCCGGCAAAGATGAATGGCTATCCCAGATGAATGGAGCAGAGGTGGCCCTGTGATTTATGGTCCTTTCAAGAGCTGCGTTACAAGCCACAACACCACCCCCTACCCCAGTCATCACGAGGGGATGTTTCTGTCTGCACAAGACCAGTGAGAGCCCCAGAATTGGCATGGAGCAATGACAGGATCCTGGGATTTGGAGTTCCCAGGCTGCCTGTGTCACTTGCACAGATGACTTAACTTTTTGAATGTCTCCATCTTAGACTGTTTGGGAGTCTTTCTGTCTGACAGCCATGTATGATGGTACCATAGCTAGCAAGTTATTCTGACATTTTGGGTGGTGGCTCATGTTTCTGAGCATGTTGGTATTTGTGAACTGTCTCCTGCTCCCCCTCCCTGCTACACCCCATCGAAGCACACACAGTATCACTGATGTCTCTTCTGCCTGCAGTGGGTGACAAAGCCTGAAGGGGATGGTTTTACATTGACCATGGTGATGATCAGGACATCACGGAGGTTCTATAGAGTCCCAGGCTGAATGGTGGTCTCACCTGTACTGGGAATTGTCTAGAGAGAGCCCCCCAGCTATCATCAGGTTCTCAAAGGAAACAGACATAGTGTCAAGCAGTGCTAGGGAGAGAACTCTACAGGGAATCCAGACATCTTACTGCTCCTGCCTTGCTGGTGACCCTTGGGCTATTCCTTGACCCTTAAGGGCCTTGGGTCCTCTCTTGTGTGTAGATGCACTCATGCTTTCTGGTTCACTGGCAGCTGTGACACTTCCCAGTCCACAGTCCATCCTGGCATCATGAGCTCCTATTGCTGGTTTCTCCAGAGGAGCAGGCCCTGGATCTTGAGAAGGCTCCAGGTAGTCTCACTGCTTCCTGAAGGAGAGAAGTGAGCTGCTTATACAAACATGAGGCACTTCTAACAACTGTGTCCTCTACTTGCCCCCTAAGTCGTCACAGCATCCCAAGCAAGCAACCCATACCAATGACTTGTCCCATTTTTGTGTTCTTATGCAGGAACTTAGCTTCCTTAAAGGGGTGGGACATTGCCCTTTAAGATGAAGGGTGATGGGACTGGCTGGTTTTGGCATATGGGTATCCAACAGGACCACTTGAGACCTAAGCACCCTCAGAAGATACTGGAAAACCAAGATTCTTCATGGATAATCCTGCAGGAGTAGGCTTCCTAGCCTTGCTGATGGTGTCCAAGAAGATGGTAGATGTGTAGATTCTCATCAGGGATATCTTTGGTTTGGGAAGAACCTGGGCCTTTGTCAGTGAGGGAGGAATGATAGACAGGTTCCATAACCTATGTGCTCAAGCATACAGAATCTAGCCCATAGCAGACACACAGGCTACCCTTGGAGGGTCTGGCAAAACAAACCTGTCTTTGTGACTTGTGGTTTTGATTAGGCAGAAGGTACAGAGTATAAACGTAGTGTCCTGACCATCTCAACCATCCAGTTCTCTGCATTGAGCACATCCACACACTCAGTGTCTGCAGCCATCACCTCTACCATCTCCAGAGCTCCTTTGTCTTCTCAACTGAAACCCTATGTCCATTACACACTAGCTCCTCTTCCACTTTGTCCAGACCCTGAGAAGCCCCGACTCCATGTCTCTCTTGTCTGATTGCTCTGGAGACCTCATATAACATGCGGCCTGTGACTAGCTTCTTGGGTTCCATATGACATCTTCAGAGTCTATCCATGCTAAATTATGCATCAGAATGCTCTTTTATAAAGCCAATACTGCGTGTATTGGCTACATTGTTTGTCCTATCACCCAGCAGTGACACTTGGATCTCTGCTAGCTTTTGAATGTGGTGGTGAATGATGTTGCTATGAAGGTGAGCACACAAATTTGCTGAACACACACACACACACACACACACACACACACACACACTTAAAACCTAAGGCATTTCCTAGAAAGTTAGGGCATTTGGGCTCTCCAGCAGATTGTGGGATCTGGCCACTTTTCTCCCCCAACCCCTTGTCTTCTTGGCCACCTTGGGAGCTGTGTGAGATTGCTCTGCTGTTTTCCAGGGGCAAGCACCTGTCCTGGTGCCTCTGGAATAGGCTGTTTTCCTTAACCCACTCCAAAGGCCAGCTGGCCTCCACCTTACTGTGATTTGGTGACACTCTCTCAGCATTGTACTGTGGCTGTGGAGATATTCAAAAGGGTCAGAGCCTCAGTGTATGCCCCAGGTGGGGAGTGATGCCACCATGCTCCCTGGGACAGACTGAACGCTATACTGCCCACTGCCCCCCCCAGGGAGAAGCCCTGAGTTACCTGAGTCTCAGTTTTGTCTCGTGGAGGACCATTGGAGAAAGAGTCCTTTCTCTGGCATCCCAGAAGAGCAACAACAGAGAATGGAGTGTTCAGTGACTGGAGTGCACTTGGAAAGTGCTAATAGCAGCTCAGGCCAAGCCTGGAGGCTGAGTGTGCATGGAGGGGACTCCTTCCCTGGGCTGTAAAGTGGAAAAGGAGGCTTGTACACCCTAGGGCTATTCCCAGGACCCAGGAGGCCTGTGGGAAATGAACTTGGCATATACCATGTACTCCATAATTGTTGCTTTCCAGTCAGTGGGGCCTCTCAATCACTTTCCCCAGAAGAGCCATAAAATCTAGGGAGCACCCTGGCTTTGGATTTGCCTGCCTGATTTCAAACCAGCCTCTAGTGGGCATATTCCTAGTCATCTGCATAATCCTCCCAGTACCAGGAGGATAGAATTAGAAGATACTGGGATTCATAATTCAAGATCAGCAAAGCCTGTGCAGGGTTGCATAGTGAGACCCTCTCTCTACAGTTCTCCAGATAGTTCTTCCACCAGCAGAAGGGCACAGGTGGCCTTCTAGTTCCTATTGGCTCATTCTAGAATTTGACTTATTGTTTTCCAGATTTGTTTATTCATTCCACCAATAGCATTGACTAAGAGACAGGCTAACCCATGGGTTCCTGCAGCAGGAGTCCACTGTGGCCAGCTGTCAGTGGCTCTGTGGAATTCTCCTTTTGAATAGTTTCTCTCCCTGGCTTTGCCTTCAAGGTACATCCACAGCTGGATGGGGACTTCTTGTCTTCCTGGACCAAGTTCTAGGTGCTCTGCTTGTCCTAGTGTCCCACTGGTCTCTCTTCCCATTCAACACTGATGCTGTTACTTCCTCCTTTCCAAAGCCTGGATGGAGACATATGAAGCACCCCTAACTCAAGGCATCCTTGAACCACACATGGGAGATCCTTTGAGATCAGACATGGACCCAGCGGAACCCAGCTTCTTCTCCTTTGGTCTTTGCATGAGATGGGACACAGATGGAAAAGCCTTTTGTCAATTTACATTTTGTGGAAATAGACCAGATTGGTGCTGCTTGACTTTCATGTGCTAGCTAGAAGACAGAGACCACCTGGCATAGAAGGGACAAAAGGATTTAAAGCCAGAGCATCAAGGCTGCAGTGAGCAGTCTGAAGCTCTGACACAGGAGACACCCCCTACTCTACTTCCAATCTGGGTCCTAACACCTGCACCCGCACCAGCATCTGCCTGGGGGCACCAGTAAACAGACTGGGTAGGGAAGCACTTTGCAGACTTGAGCACAATACAGACATTATGCTGAGGTCATTACTTTGGTATGCATTCATGGTGTACCTACTGTGTGCCTTGTGAACAATATGAACTGTCTGCCTTGAGATGATTTGGAAAATGTCCCTGGACTGAGAAGGATTGCCTGTCAGATGGCTGTACTACACATTCATAGATCATGACTAACAACAGCCAGAGAGTTGGCATGGCAACGTTTTCCCCTGAACTGCGAGGCAGTATGCTTAAAATAGGTACACTGGAGGTGTGGCAGCAGCCGAGACGGATAGTTCTGCAGCCTGAAATGGGTGGTTAGCTCAAGGCGGCCATGTCCTTGTCCTTCCCCAGCAGGTCAGCAGTGCAGGGACTGAGAGGGTACACCCAGGAGCATCCACTGTGGAAGCTGGAGAAAGACTAGGACTCACTATGTACACCCTTCCTTCCTGAAGCCAAGAGAACTTAAAGTGGGACATCCTTGGCCAAAGGGCCCCAGATGGGACTGAGCCTGGTTCTGATCTCTTGTGGATTACTGCCCAGCAGTTCCATAGTGCAGCTGATTCTGACTGAGGCTGCAGTTCATTTTCTGGTGGGTTTCAATGTGAATGGCATCATTTAACACAGAGTCTGAGTTTGAGTCCTCCTTCCCTGTGGAATTCATGTGTGGGGTCCTCCTTGCCAATCCTAGAGTCCTGAAATGGCTTGGGACTCTTACTTTATGTCTGGACTTTTATTACTGAGGTTTGAATCAGCTTTTTACTACTTTCTCAATGTTCAGACCAGCAGAACTGATGAGAAGTTCATGAATCATGGTGTTGAAGATGCAGCTCTGCTGGTATAGTACTTGGCTAGTGTCTGTGAGGCCCTGGATCCCATCTCCAGCACCATGTACACTGGCTGTGCTGGTGAACTACTGTGATCCTAACATTCTGGAGGATGGGGCAGGAGGATCAGAAGTTCAACTTACCTTCAGCTACATAGCAAGTTTGAGGCCAGCCTGAGATACACAGATATTCAAAAACAAAACAAAACAAACCATGAATTGAATTGAGCAGGGTGTGTTGTTACATGCCTGTAATCCTAGCACCTAGCACTTGGTAGAAGATAGGACGATCCAGAGTTCAAGGCTAACATGGGCTATGTGAAACTGTCTTATCAAAATGTTCATGAAGCAATCTGTGATGAGTGAGTCTGTTTCCTCATCACTGCAGAGGATGGGGGCCCCACACTCCCTTTGCTCAGCAGATGATTGAGTGAGGTTTATAACTTTAGAGGTTGTTTCTCTTGGAAGCTCTGAGCTGCTTGAAAGAGATTCATGGCTCTTGTTCATTTCCAAGGGGAGGGTCTGGAAAGTGAAACTTTGCTTCTTTCCTACTTTGCTTCTTCATTCCATCCTTCCTTCCTCTTTCCCCCCTCTCTCTTTCCTTTTGTGTGTGGCTGAGGTGGGTTGAGACAGTCTCATGGCTGTATGTAGTTCAGACTGGTTTTGAACTCCTGATTCCTCTGCTTCTGCCTCCCAAGTACTAGGATTACTGACATGCACCACCCCTGGCTTAGAAAGTGAAACTTTTCAAGGCCTCGACTTGTGAGAACAGCACACTGACATCTTTCAGATGCTCCATGTGTTCTCCTTGCTGAGACAGTGGGGGCTGGGCTCTCCTGCAGAGGCTGTCCTGGGTGGGGCCTGGGCAGGGATGCAGCTGAGGAGATAACCATCCAGTTTCAGACTATTGTATTTAAGTTTACTCTCCTCTGGGAAAGAACTGTGCAGGTAGCAAGTTCCTACCTTTGGAATATTTCTGATCCCAAGACAGTTTGGTAACTTGGTTGTTGGGGCTCTTTTGAGCCTCAGTGTGTCTTGTGAAGTCAGAGTACACAGTGAGAGATGGCTTTCAGTTCCCTGTGACAAATCCTAACGATGGGGCCTCGGTGACCAATAATTGCAAAATGACCTGAAAATCCAGGGAATAAATGTACCTCTGGCAAATCTGCCAATTGCTCAATACACAGCAGTGGATTTTTCTTCTTCATTGGTGGCACTGACCAAATGTACCCCTGCTCATCTTTGGCATAAATAATTTGAGATTCTCTGGTGCCTTATAGAAGCAGAGAAGGGAAAACCCCAGAGGTTTGCTGACACATTTAGCTCCCTTCTCCTTGTAATGGAAAGTTCTAGAAAAAGTTCATTCGTACCTTGGACCCAAAGCCATTTGGACTCAGTCAGTGTTTCTTTGTTTCATCTAATCTTCACTCATGCTCTGATTTCTTAAATCAGATTGTGGGTCTGGCTGCCCCACATTCTGACTTTGGCATCATGGAAATACTGAACCAAGACACAAGAATAAGGATTTCTTCAAAAGCATGATTTGGTGGTTATTTCTATGGCAAAGGGTGGCCTGATGGTGTCTTTTATATGATGAGCAAAAGGGAAGCAAAGAGTGGATGAGATGTCAAACATGGCTGAAAACTTGATTTCACTTCCGCATCACTTTGATTTCCAAATGCAGTAATGTAATGCAGCGTTTGTAAATGTGGCCCTGGAAGTGGTGGGGGAACTGGAAGCCTGGTCAAGTATAATTCTTACTTAGAGTCTCCACTGGGGCAAGTCCAAGGCCAGCAGGGGTGGGAGGGTAAGTGAGAGGCCAGATGCACACCTTGGGCTTGAACTCTGGCAGGGCCGCCAACCAGCTATGCAAGCTCAGACTGGCTCTCTCAGCCTCTCCAGGGCAATAGTGAGAGGCTGTGAGGGTTAGTACGAGCTTCTGAAAACACACAAGGAATGTTGAGGAACGCCAGGGACTCTCCTGAAAGCAAGCTGCATGCCGACATTGAGCAAGGCAGAGCACAGGCTGCCCTCTTGAGTTGGGGTCTAATGCTTCTGTTTCCCCCAACCAGCTTTTCAGTGAGGGGAGGGTGTAGGAATCACTGTCTGGGGTGCTGAAGAGAGTACCTGACTTTCTCAGTCCTTTGGGGTGGGAACTGGGAGGGAGCAGAAATCACAGGACTGCTGGGAAGCACAAATTCACTTGAGCACTTGAACAATGTTCCAACCAGGTCGAGGGTGCACAACAACCTTGCAGCCCACTGCTGGGATCGAAAAGGACTCTCCCACAGCCGTGTTACCAAACCCAAGGTCAAAACTGTGGCAGGCCCACCACGTCCCTCTCCCAGTGAGCCACTCTGGTCCACAGGGGCCTGGCCCAGTGACATGTGGAGCCCTCTCCTGTTGGGTGCTATCCAGCAGGACCTTCACTGAGTGATTAGCAGTGGCTGTCCCATAGCAGCCTGCCTCAGCGTGGTGAGCAGAGTGATTGCTGTTTGTCAACCCTTCTCACCACCACTCAGACCTGTGTAACTCAGGCTCAGTTGCCCCGTCAGGATTTCTAATGACAATTCTGTCCTGTGTAAATTTGAGCAGGCTGTTCTCTTGTTATGAAGAAGTATTTTTCTATGTTAGTGAAATGTATACTTTGTGTAATTTTGTACATTAAAACATATGCTTTTTCATAATTAGAGTTTATTATTTCCTTTTAGTGTTTGATGATGGGTTCATTACTGATTGTTGGAAGGCCTGGCCTAATGTAAAAAGGCAGTAAGTGCAGGAATCTCCTTTTCCTGGTGGAGAATAAACTATTGTGAATCTAATCTACTCAGTACATTTACTACCATGTTAATGTCTTATGGCCAAGAGACTATGGGTAGCACATCTGCATTTATTTACATACTCAAGGTCCTCCTGCCTCTACTTCCTGAGTGCTGAGATTACTGGTCTGATACCCCACCCCACAGCATTCACGTATTCTCTAGCTCTGGCACCCAGAGTCTGAAGTGGGTCTCAACATCAAAGTGTCAGCCGAATGCATTTCTTTCAGAGTCCAGAGAAGAATTCATCTTCCTGTGTTTGCCTGCATCTAGAGGCTACCTGCCTATCTTGGCTTGTGGTTCCTCAAGCATCTTCTGGGGCAGGACTGTAGCATGCACTCTCCCTGCTTCTGTTGTTACATTGCCATCTCACTCTGTCCCTCGTCCTCTTGTTCATATTTGCCATTTAGATAGCATCACCCAGATATTCTACCACAGTCTCTCCAGCTACAGATATTTAGTTTAAGCATACCCCAAATCCTCATTTGGCATGTGGGTTAACACATAGGCCCCAGAGGTTGTATGAGCATCACTGAATATGTTTCTTCTATGCAGTGCATTCTGGGTGGGAGTCGCAGAAAGAGCAGGCATTTAGTACTCTGGATCTGGCCTGGCTATATTTCTCCTAGAGTCACACTGGCCTGTCTGTATGTCCCTGGCACACTGCAGGAAGTTTCCCTAACTGAACTTCTCACGTCTCAAATGAGCACATGACTTTGCCTAGAAGACTTACAAGGAGCAGTATACCCAAAATTGCAATTCCATTCACTGTGCAGCTCAGGCTGGCCTGAAACTTATTATGTAGACTAGGATGGCCTCAAGCCCACAGAGATCCAGCTGTCTCTGCCTCCCTAGTGCTGGGATTAAAGGTGTGTGCTACTATGCCCAACAAAATATTCTTTGGATGAGTTGTACTTTTTCATATTTGTTTTGTGTAAACAGAATACTTGGAGTTGGGCTTGTTCTCTCTGTTACTCTCTTGATATGTCTCTCTCTGCCAGTGCCCTGGAAGGCTTCACAGACTCTAGGGTGAGCCTGAGGCTGGTCTTCACACATTTGTGGTGTAGTTTATTTAGGACAACTTTTTCCTTGGAGGACTAAGAGGTCACTGTGTACCATAGGATGGACTTGATCCAGTATCCTGGATGTCATCTGTGGGTGTCTGCCAGCCATGATCTCTGGCTCCCTGACAGCTACTGGTACATTTTTAGCTCAGTTCCTCCGATTCTCTGCTCCACTTACCTTACTGCCTTTGATTGGAGAGATGGTATGGGAAGGCCTCAAACAAGCCTGACTAGAGGGTGTCCCAACTTATTTCCTTCCTGGAGAATATGGGTGATAGGTTTACAGTGTGGCCTCATCAGCAGTACAACAGCCTGAAGCCAGAGGCAGCAAGGCAGCAAGGCTGCCATTGGCATGGCCAGATGAGCCAATGGTGTGTAAGGTAGAGCATTTACCAGAACACAAAGCATGGACAATGCACAGTATTGGATGTTCCCCTCTGCAAGGAGGAAGGAATGATGACTGGTCCAGACAGTGACCACACAACGGTGCCCCAAAGCTGTGTGATTGCTGCCCAAGGTTACACTTAGGACAAGTACTTCTGACTGTACACCCCTCACTTCTTTTTCTTTTCCCATGGGGACCACCTACATCAGACATTTTGGGGGAGAGAAAGGGCTGATGGTTAGAATGCAGCCTCAGCAGGAGACTACATTTTACATCCCACAGTCTCCTTGCCATCTGTGCCTCTAGGGAGAGGATTTACTCTCTCAGCCACATTTTCCTAATCTGGAAAATGAGGCTAAAATAGTACCTTCTAGCTTGTGGGGGTGGGGGTGCATGCAAAGCATTCCTGTTGGTATGGTGCCCCGGGCAGGGGTAAACACTTGGTAAGTGGAAACTGATTTTCCTTGCTTCTGCCTAAACATGGTGCTTCCTCACACAGCACCTTCTAGCTTCACAAACTGGCAGGCTCTTTCTCATGAGGAAGTAGACTTTCTTTTCTTTCTTAAAAATCTATTTATTCTTTTTTAAAAATTTATCATTTGTATGTGTGTGAATCTTCATGAGTTTATGAGAGCAGAGAGGCCAAAAGAGGCACAGGAATTTATGAGTTTCCGTGTCAGTGTTAGGAACAAGCAAGAGCAGTAAGAGTTCTTAACTGCTGAGTCCTGTCCTCCAGACCCTTCCTTTCTTCCCTTTAAAAGATTTATTTTAGTTTTACTTGTGTTTATGTATCTGTGTGATGTGTGATGTGTGTGTCTGTGTGTGTATATGTCTCTGTGTATATGTGTCTCTGTGTGTGTTTGTGGATGCCACAGAGGTCAGAAATGGATGGTGTAGGATCTCGTGGGACTGTAGTTACAGGCAGCTGTGAGCCTCTTGACATGGGTGCTGAGAACTCAGGTTCTCTGCAAAGGTTGTAGGTGCTTTTAATTTCTAAGCCATCTCTCAAGAACTGGTATCTTCTTAAAAAGCAATAAGATTTCCATCACCATCAGCAAAGCTAGAGAGATAGTGTCCCTAAGATGTTGACTGCAGAATAGACAGTTACTGAGGGCAAGGACTTTATACTTTCCTGTGTCCTCAGCATTAGTCCCTGTCAAGTATGAGTGAGGGAAGGAAGGAACTTTTCAAGCGCCCACTGACCTGGGATGATCATTAAGTCCCAGGAAGACTGTTGCTTCTCCTGTTTCCTCAATCCCACAGCTGAAGGGTCCTACTTGTAGCACTGAATGTCTTGCTCCAGGTGTCAAAGGAGACACCAGGTGTTAGCTGATGTAGACCTTATTGATAGAGTCTTCAGGTTCTTATCCCAACAGCCATGTTTACTGTCCTGTCCTTTTGGGGTTCTCCAAAGTTGTTCACAGAGGCCTGTGAACTTTGTTGGGGGTGCTGAAGGGACAGCTCCCTGCTCAGGGAAGCCAGCCAAAGGACAGATGCTGAATAGGGCTTCCTACTGCTTTGCCCCAATCCTGACTGCCAGTTTGGACTTGTCTGCCTAGGGGGCTGGCAGCTTGCAAGCTTTCCATCCAGAAAGCACAGCTGAGATTCCCGGGTCCCCAGGGACTAGATAATCATGAACAAACGAGGAGACTCTGACTTTTGCCTGACCTCTGAGAAGGGGAAACCCTAAGTCTTCATACTTTTTGGTTAGAGAAGCCCCCAAATCTCCAGGCATAGCTAGAGTAGGCTGTCCTCCGGATGTGGGAGGTGCCCATAGATGGAGGCTGTTGTCTGCCTGTGTGATTGCCTGCTGTGTGTGTGTGTGTGTGTGTGTGTGTGTGTGTGTGTGTGTGTCCCTGAGTGTCTGTCTCTCTCATGTCTGGTTGAGATGTGTGTGGGTTCCCTGTCAGTAGATTACAGGCGGGTATGTGTGGAGGAGCTCCATGAGTTGCCTTTGCTACTCTGTGGAAATTATCCATCCTGAGATGTTTTTGGAGTGTGCATCCATGCGTGTGGGTCATTGGTTCATGTGCAAGCATCTGGGAGTTAATACTAACACGGCCCCCTTGCTGTGCAGTAGGAACCTCTGTTCCAGAGTTCTGCAGTCTTGTATCATTTCCTCTTAGAAGGTTGACCTCCGAGAACAGGGATTTCATTATACTCCTAGCTCAGTCCTCAGCACCTGCACTACTAGTGCCAGACCCTATTAAGCAATCACTGTAGTAGCATTGAGTGAGCCAATGGGGAGTTGGATGTGTATGACTTTGACTGTACATTTAAGTTCATTTAACTTCTGATTTTTGTATGTGTGGGGCTGCTTGACAGTGAGAATCCCGGGCGTGTGTGTGTGTGTGTGTGTGTGTGTGTGTGTGTGTGTGCATGGCGTGCCAGCTGTCTGGAGGGAGCATGGAGGTACCTGACTTGGTATGTACCAGCATGCCTATTCAACCCTCGTGTGTGAGGTGAAGCTTCACCGTGTGTGTGTGTGTGTGTGTGTGTGTGTGTGCGTGTCGTGTGCACGCGCGCACCGCCCCCACCCTATCTCTGTCCGCACCCTGCGCTCCTCCAGGAAGCGGAGAGCTGGGTGTGTGGAGGGCACTGCGGCTCGGCCACCCGCCCACCGCGCTGCGGTTCCAGAACGTCACCATCCTCTCCGCCCTGGCCGCGGTCCCGCCTCCGCGGTCCTTTGTAGCTGGCGGTGGCGGCGGCCGCGGTCACCACAGGCCCCTCCCCCGTCCCGCCCAGACCCCGCCCCTCGTGGGCCACGCCCCAGCCTTATTCCCTCCCTCCCTGCCCCACCGCAGTCGCGCTTGGGCCGCCGCGGGCCCGCACCGAGGCAGGCGCGCAGCGCGGAGTCAGCAGTGGCGAGGGCTGACCGCCGGGGTCGGGGATGGCGGAGCGGCGGCGCGCGTGGAATACGGAGGACGACCTGCCGGTGTACCTGGCGCGGCCGGGCAGCGCAGCGCAGACCCCGCGCCAGAAGTACGGTGGCATGTTCGCCGCTGTGGAGGGCGCCTACGAGAACAAGACCATCGACTTCGACGCCTACAGCGTGGGCCGCCGCGGTTCCGCGCGCACGCCACGCAGCGCTGGCCGGCCCGACGCCGTGGGCCTGCCGTGCCCCGGCGGCAGCGAGGACACCGCCAGCGATGTGAGCGAGCCCTCAGGCTCTGCTGTCAGCTCCCCAGGCGACCGGGATGACAGACCGCCGGCGTTGCGCATCCGATGCCCTGCGCCCCGCGACCTGCCACTGGGTCGGGACAATGGCCAGGTACCTTCGGGGCGCGTGGACCGGACGTGGGGGGCGGGGCCCTTAGAGACCCATGGCTTGGGCGACGCGAGGGCGAGTGCTAGGGCCCACTGCCACTAGGCTCTGGGGCACTGGAACGACCCCTCCCCCATTTTATAATACAAGAGGCTCAGAGAGGTTGTACGTTAGGCTAGGGTTGGCCAGCATAGCCTCTGGACTCTGGAGGAATCTCTCAGGTCCAGAAAACCAGAGCCAGGTTCTGAGGAGGGAAGTAAGTTGCTGCCGCTGCCGCTAAGGGACCTGT